TGCCTTAAGAGGACGTTCGAACACAAAAAGCCAGTCGTTTTGAAAAGTTCTGGCTGCCCTACTTTTTTAGTGGCTTTTTCAGTTTTGCTGACTACCAACATATTATAATATTGTCTATCTATCACTGAAAGTGCTCATAGATTGGAAGCAGACAGCTTCAGTTAAATAGTATTGAACGTCAAAAAAGGTGTCCGTTACACACAAACACAAAGAAAATGCATAAATATGGGAGAAAAACTGTGTTACAGTCTGCTGCAGCTTACTTTCAAACTCTTGTGTAAATGGATTCAACTTAAAATGATAATTCTTATTAAACATGAAATTTTCCCATTTTGCTCTTTTCTGCTATTTGATTCTTAATTATTTATTCTAATACCGTGCAAAAGATTTGAACCATCCTAGATTTCTTTATATTTTCTTCCAGGGTGCCAGACTGTCATGTTAATGTTACCACTGAGCCACTAAAGGCTGATAGTGTATTGTCATCAATACAATTGACTGCTTTTTCACTCATTTTCAGTCTAGTCCTTGTGCCTAACCATTTCCAGGGATGCTTGTTTGTTACGCTCTTTAACAAACAATTAAAGAACCGAATCTTTAATCTTTGTTACTTTGTTCTGTAACTTGTCACAGAAACACATAATTTCTTCCCATTTGTGTGAGGAGAGCGCTGCGACGGTGACTGTTAGCAGCCTTCTGTTAAACACGGTGGAGGCTCAGTCATGGTTTGGGCCTGCATTTCAGCCGGTGCTGTTGGGTATCTTAGCAAAATTGATAACATTACGAATGCAGGAAAGTACCATCAGATTTTGATCCACAATTCAGTATCATCTGGAAAATATCTGGTTAACAACAGCTTCATTTTTTCAGCATGGAAATGATGACAAACACAACTCAGCACAGGAAAATGATACCTGGATAGAAAAACGCAGTGAAACACAATTAGTCAAGGGTAGGTCTCCATAGAGCCCAGACCTCAACGTGACTGAAGCGGCGTGGGATCATCTTTACAGAGAACAGAACAAAAGGCAGCCAACATCCAAAGAAAAGCTTTAACTGTCCTTCAAGAAACCTGGAGAACTACTCCTGAAAACTATCTGAAGAAAGCTTTCCTAAGACAGTTCAGGCTGTGTAGAAAAAATATATTGACTTTCAATGTCGTCAAAATTGTCACATCAAACTCTATTTTTGCCTTATATGTATAGAGGAATGAACAATGGCTCAATACTTTTGCACATCCCTGTAGGACGTGATAATTTTATCAGGCGACAGACACAGTCAATTATCTCTGCAGGGGGGGTGTAACATATATCTTTAACTAAAGTGTCATTAGTAAGAGCTTCCCCTTTTCCTGCGAACGAAAAGATTTCCGCCTCTTATTTGATTTGTCCGGATCAATGATTGGGATCATATTGTTTTTACGGCACTTTGCGTGGCAAAGAGGTTTTCAATTAGCTAATGTGTAGATTACCATCAATCTCTCTCCAGCAGCAGCAAGTCCTATCCTTCCCAATTTGGTGAGACCGAGAGATAACTGTTGATGAATGTTTGATTAGCTACCCTCTTTCTTGACATGTTCGTATCCTGAAGGCTGACATGAGCTCTCTCCAGCCTTTATGCCGTCCATCAACTTGCTATCAGAAGTAGTTGTAGTAATAGTGGCGTCGGGATAATTGGGAAAATTCTTGATTTCTTGTGTCTGCAGAAATGACTTAATATGCGTGCTTTTTGTGAATTATAAGTTCATATGTTATTTAAATCACTGTCTGTCAGTATTAAGGTGCCACAGTGAGCGTTCATGCTGTGTGTTTTTCACTGTGCTCTAGTGTCCTGGTCCTGGCTGAGGATCCCAGGAGTGCTGCAGCGTCTGGGCTTCACCTACTTTGTTCTGTCTCTCCTGCAGACTTTCTGGGGCCAGAAAGAAATCCCACTGACTGCGGTGAGCAGTTCTGTCAAGTTCAGTTATTTCAGCCATTACACACAAGAGAAAAAATTAAAGGAGTCTAACCTGAAAAAGCACACGAATAACAAGTCCAAGAGTCGATGGACCTGTGAGTTCAGTGCAGTGGAAGTCTTTGTTGAACAGTTCAACAAGTTCCATCCATTCGTTACGTGCGGAGCTCAGATATTCGTCCAGATTAACAGACAGACATCTCTAAAGCTCCAAGAAGAGTTAAAAATGTTTAGTAATTATGAATTTGTTGTGTATTCAAGTGGACCAATCTATCCCAAAACTTAGTTTAATGCTAAAAAAATACCTAAATGCGAAGCAGTTTTGGACCTAAAAACAAAAATATTATGTGCTTTATGTATGATGCAGTATAACTGGTGGAACCCGGTCCAGGATATTCTCCTTTACTGGCCACAGTGGCTGATCATCATCCTGCTGGAGACTTTGTGGCTGTGCTTAACTTTCCTCATGCCTGTTCCCAACTGCCCCACGTAAGTCCGGACATGACTCCCACTGTCATATAGCATTTCAGGTCAAATCTCCTCACTAATGCATCGTACACTTAAGCTAAAAGCATAAATTTCCTATGTGTCGAAGCTGAGATAATCTCCAGTTGGGCCTGTTTGTGCTGCAACAGTGTGAGTGTGCACCTTGTGTTGCAGGTGTTATGAACCGTTGTGATTTATGGGCCCGTGGTGGATGCTTCAGAGAGCCTAATTAGCCAATCTCAGTCTGTCATGTGCAATAAGAGGAGCGGAGGCAGAGGATCCATCTTCCTCGCTCTGTGTCTTCTGCTTTTTGTCTTTTGTTTTGTTTTTTCCTTCTCTGTGACCCTGCATGACATCACGTTTACAGTACTGTGGGTTCAAGCTGTAGCACTTTTTCCTCTCAGTCCTTCTGTGTCTTTTCATCTGATTGAGTTTTGGGTTTTTTCTTCCTTGAACGTGAATGTGTGGTGGCTTGAGACACAACTGCTATACAGGGTTTAAGAATATTAAAATCACCTTTGGTATTAGAACACCGAGCGTTCTCTGCTGCATCTGGGTATTGTGTTTTCATATAAACACAAAACACTTCATTAAACATTGTTTTTTGTAATAACTACAGCTACAATAATTATGTTCTTGTTTGATAACAGAGGGTATTTAGGAGCCGGTGGAATTGGCGATAACGGGCTTTACCCAAACTGCACGGGAGGTGCAGCGGGATACATCGATAGGTGGATGTTTGGTGATAACATGTACAGATACCCCACGTGCAAAGTAGGAATGTTCATCACATATTGCAATACAATGCTTCTGCTATAAACCAATGTAGGTGAAATTATAAACTGCATGGTTTTGTTTTGCTTTTTCCAGGAAATATATCGCACCACACAGCCCTTTGACCCAGAGGGGGTTCTGAGTACCATCAACTCCATTGTCATTGGATTTCTAGGGATGCAGGTAAGATCCAAGTTTCTCCTGTACGATGCAGTGAGTGGCATGAGTGGCAAAAAAAAAAAAAGTCTTAGTCCTGCCTTTGTATTTTTTTGCGCAGCCTTAATAAATGGCTTGCTTCTGCCAAGTTTAGTCCAAGTGTCTGCATTTTTAGTGACCTGCATAGGCAGATCTTGACAATTGTCCAATCCACCACATCCCAAAGGTTCTGTATTGAATAGAGACCTGATGACTGTAGTGACCACCTAAGAGATGATTTGAGCTTTATAATATGCTGCGTGTACCCACCAGGTGATATGTACACTGTGGTCACAAAGCGATGGACTGATTGGCAACAATACTCAGGTTGGCTGTGAAGAAGAATGCTCAGTGGGTACTGAGTGTGCCAAAAAATATTTCCGACACCTGATAACAGCACCACTAGCCTGAACTGTTGATACAGTGCAGGACAGATCCACTCATATGTTTTTTATGCCAAATCTGTATTTGTTCACTATTCATTTAGGTAAAATTACCTATGCCATACATAGCTTTGGTTAAATTGTTTAAATCAGCTTTTAAACTCTGCAAAATCCATCCATCCATCTTCATCCGCTTTATCCGAGGCCGGGTCGCGGGGGCAGCAGCCTAAGCAAAGAGGCCCAGACCTCCCTCTCCCCAGCCACCTCCTCCAGCTTATCCGGGGGAACACCAAGGCGTTCCCAGGCCAGCCGAGAGATATAATCTCTCCAGCGTGTCCTGGGTCTGCCCCGGGGCCTCGTCCCGGTGGGACATGCCTGGAACACCTCACCCAGGAGGCGCCCAGGGGGCATCCTTGTCAGATGCCCGAACCACTTCAGCTGGCTCCTTTTGATGTGGAGCAGCAGCGGCTCTACTCTGAGCCCCTCCCGGATGGCCGAACTTCTCACCCTATCTCTAAGGGAGAGGCCAGCCACCCTTCGGAGGAAGCTCATTTCTGCAAAATTAACAAGCTAAATGTCCCAGTCCTCTTTAATGTGGACAACACTCATGGTCATGTGGTTGCTGGAGTCCAGCCCAGCTGGTAGACTGGCATCCTGTTCAGGTTGTAACCCGTAACCCAGTATCACAGGGCTAATATGTAGAGACAGTGAACTGCTGGCATTCATATTTACACCAAGTTAGAATCTCTAGTTAACCTAACCTGTGTCTTTGGGCTGCTTGAGAAAGCTCGATTACCTGGAGAGAACCAATGCAGTCGCTGGGAGAATCTGTACAGTCCACACAGAAAGACTCCGGCTGGCTTGCAGCTTCAAACCCAGAATCTCTTTGCTGTGAGATGACAATGCTAACCACTGCACCACTGTACCGTTAACTGAGAAAATAGTTTCCATGAATTGATTTCGAACCTAAAAAATATATGTATGTTTTGTGTTTTCAAAATGCATTGCAAAAAAACCTTAAAGTTTTATTTGCCTCCACTGGACTTGATCCTGAATAGAAACTGTACATTTTAGAGTCTCTGCAGGTTTATAAAACATTAAAAGTTCACAACAAAATACTGCAATAATAATAATAAGCCCACTTATTCAAAAAGGTCTTATAAACCCACAACTAGTGGTTTATGGCTCCATCTACCTGATTGTGGTTCTGCCTGATATTTCTTCCTGTCAAATGGGAGTTTTTCCTTCCCACAGTCACCAAGTGCTTGCTCACAGGGGGTTGTCTGATGGTTGGAGTTTTCTCTGTATTATTATATGGTCTTTGCCTTACAATATAAAGCACTTTAGACAACCGTTGTTGTGATTTGGCGCTATTTTAATAAAGTTTAATTGAATTCAACTGAACACAAAACTTTCCTGCCAAAAACAAAAAGCAGGCTGAAAATATCTTAGAGACAGGAAATGATCAGAACCTTCTGAAGATGTGACTTTAAAATACTCAGTTTGACTTGATTAGACTGAAAGTTTTAATGGCTTCATTGTGCAGACAGTGATGCTCTTCAGTGTTAATATGTTAATATAAACCTACAGTGTGACTACAGTAAAGATTATGTGACAGATGTTTTCCTGTCTCACTGTAAATGCACAGCTGCCCTACTTTAATGACAAAATGCTGTTAGAAAGTAGGAAGGCCCTTTTGTTCTTCAGACCTGCGTCTCAGATGGTGACAGTGGCACTTATAACCATTTGGGTTGTGGGAAGGTAACATGAAAAAGTGACCACATTGCTCAATTCCCCGTGGGCGGTTTGCTCTGAGCCCTTCAGTCAGCGAGTCTTAAACGACACGCCAGGTGTCCGCTGGCTTCCTCTGTGTTGGTCCATGCTAATGTTCTCAGCTGAAACATATTCATCATCACCAAATTAATCAGAGGGTGCGGATGACTAACACCCCACATCTGGCTCCATGGGATAGGAGAAACGTGACCGCCATGTCAGGGACGTGGCTTCGACAGCCACATCCCAGGCCTATTTGGTTACCCAAGGGCAAGTACGCGGACACACCGGGTGTTGGTGTTTATGTGGTATTTCTCATTAAAGAGATGAGTGAATAGGCTGTGGGGTCTGTACTTATTTCTGCCTCTTTCTTTCACAGGCGGGGAAAATTATAATTTTCTACAAAAAGATGAATGTCCACATCCTGTGCCGATTCCTAGTGTGGACCCTCATCCTGGTACGTGGAGGTTTTAAGCAGAGCTGCTGTAAGAAGTGAATATAAAGTCAGTTGTTAATTTAAAACCAAGACACCCAATAACTGTCCTGCTCCTGTGATTCACTCAGAGCCGAGCACTTTTATGGTCTCCGTGTTTCACTTCACCTTGCAGGTAAATTCTGCAACGTGTTTTCCAGCCTCTTGGGTATTAGTCATACTGTAGCTTGCTGAAGTCATTCATTAGCAGGACTTAGCAGAGGACATGTGTGTGATCTCAGTACAATTAAACAACATCCATGTGTGGCTGTGTTTCCGGGCAGACATGGGTATCCGGACCCTCGGGGGAATACACGCTGCGTCTCGTTGCCTCTCTGTGCTTTACATGTGGTTTTGGATTGGAAGAGTTATGCATATTACTTACAGTCTGCTGCAAGCATAAAAGCATCTACTCTAAGAGTATGATCAGTTTAGGAAGCTGCAAGCGAGGTCTCAATAAGCAAACCAAACATGGCAGATTTAAGAAAGGAATTATTAAAGTGCATTCAAACCTAGGATAAAAAAGTAATGCCTGTCTGAAAAGCTTTTAAGGTCATATTTGTTTGAGATTTATGCTCATTCTGGGTGGTCTTAAAACACAAAAAGAGCCAGGCTGGCCTCCATTTCATTTAGAGGGGGAATGCGTCCTCCAGGGAGAAGCCAAGTGTTACAGGAGATGGCTTGTTTTGTATTTCTAAACCTGTGACAGGAGGCTGCTAGTCTGCTCTAGCAAGACTGACAGACAGACACGTAGGAAGGCTAGTCTCCGCTGAACTGTGCTTGCCACTGTTTTTATGTACGTGCAGCGTGATGCTCCAGAGATATAGCTCATTTGTGAAACGGGGTTAGGAGGAGCCTGCGTGCTGTGGAGGCAGACATCCTGAACCGGCAGCTCTGTGACCTGGAGCGATGATAGAGCTGGAAGAGCTGGCTGCATCGCACGGCCTTTGAAATCAAGCTGCGCAGGACGGAAAATCTGTGCAGCGAAAGAAAAAACACACAGAAGCAGGGAAAGACTTGTCTGAAGTTCTGTAGTTCCAGTATATTTGGGTGCCTTTTCTGTCCAGCTTTGGGTATCAGGTTCCTTCAGAGTGTTACGTGTATGACTGCAAGACGTTTATTTACTTATTTGACACATGAGTTGAAACAGCGTTGAAGGTTCTGGTGTTAAAGAAATTGTTTATTTTATTTACTATTATGTCATAAGGTTTTTCAAGTCAAATCTGTTTATTTTTGTAGTCTAATATGTCCAAAACAATATCTCAGTGAAGTTTTAAAGGTCTGTAACAGCAGCGTTTTTCCATCCAGACAGTATTTTCCAAAAGGACAGTAGGAAGAAACTCAGTGACAGAGTCCTGCTCGTATATGTGAGAATCAATTGAAATTCTGTTGCGAGAATTTAACGTCATTAACCTCACTTCTTAAAGGACAAAGCTCCATTATGTCTCCAGGTGTTGAATCTTATTGACTATCATTGTGCGATGAGTGGCTGGAGGGAGGTGACATAAATTAGATCCATTTAGCTTCTCCCAGCGGCGCACAGTGACAAAGTAGCTCATGCTGTCATAAATAAACATTAGGCTTTAATGTTTTTTCCACTGTATCTCATTGTTTACCAGCTGATAGATGCTGCGGATGCTACTGAAGATTACAGTGTTGGAGGTGCGATATTCTGGATCTTACAGTATTTCGATGTGGCTCGACAGAGTAGCTTAAATCCTGGTTAGCTGAGATAGAAAAATGCAATAGAATAGATTTTCTCACATTGCATCGGCTGGCAGTGAGAGCAGACCATCGTTATTGATTTTAGGAACAGACACGGGAATAAAGAATCAGCGCAGCATATATTTGTTTCACCGTTTCTGCACGTGTATATTTGATTTGACTTTTTTAATCTCAGTGGTTAAGTCTATTTTTGGTTGTATGTCTTACCAACACAGAAAGCAAAATTAGTTTTAGCGATTGGCCTGCTCTTGATATTGACTTTTCTAATAAGATTTCGGCTCAAAGGGGGAGGCAGGAAGCAGAGCCGAGCTGCCTTTTGTTTCAGACATGTGCTCTTAACATTAGCAGGTTTCCTCAGAGGAGGAGAAAACTTATTACTGCACACACCCGACAACTGGGTCGGCGTTAAGCACAGGAAAAACAGAAAGTGTGGATACAGTAAACATCAGGCCATGGTTTATTGTTTTGTGATCTGTGGCAGGCTGATATTCACAGGCAGCCATGTGTCTTCCTCATAATAAACAGCAGCCCCTGTTAATTAAAGTCCAACGATCAGGCTCCAGAAGTGAGAGATTGAAATTGAGCGATTGCCCCACATACCAGCCCCATCCCACATCCTGCTGCCTGGATAGCCTGGAGACTCAATCCAGCCCCAGCTAGGCTATTTCCACACCATCGATTCTGTCATCTATACACATGATGGATATCCACCTAACGAGCATGTTTGGATCCTGATCCGCTGTCCTGGGTTTCTCTGTGCAGCACAAAATCTTTCTTCATGTATCTAAATCATACAGGGAGGGTGGGGGATAGTTAAGACTATGAAAGTGCTTACTGATGTAGAGTTGAGCAGATCATGAGTAAATATGAACATGGAGTCAGTTGGGCCTCAGTGTGTTGGACTTTGTAGATGCCTCTCGGTGGTGTTTTACTGTAGTGACAAACCCACGTTTTAATGTTTTTCAGCTCATTGTTTTGGTGTGTTTGCAGTCCTGTCTAGTGTTTTGTGTGTGTGTGTAAGTTAATGGACCATGTCCACGTAACTCTCTGATTGTCGGTTGATCTGGTGGACTCTGCTTGATACTGTTGCCTCACGTTTTAGCAGCCCAATACAGATTGCTTTATCGCCCTCCATCGATTTGAAATCTGTTTCATTTCCACCCTCAGGGAATCTCCGCAGCCATCCTTTCTAAGTGCACGCGAGACGGAGGATTTATACCTGTCAATAAAAACCTTTGGTAAGTGCTTCCTGACCCTCTAAATCCAGCCACTTTTCCTCACAAAAAAAGAAAGGATGGGATTTCCAACAGACACAAATCAAGGCTGCTAAAACACGCGTTTACTTACCTCTAACGACAGCTACGGCTGTAAATAATCACCCGGGCTGTTGGGAGTGTGAGGTGTTGCCGTTATACATCCTCCCAACATGATCACTCTTCCTTACGGCCAGCGAAATAAAGAATGCTTCATCCTCCCCCAGAAGCACTCACTCACTGTTTTACCAGCTCTGTGTGATGGAAAGAGCTCAGACTCTGGGAAATGTAACTGTATAACCACAACGCAGTCTTAACTGCTCCCAAACTATTAGAAGCCTTTTTAGAAAAACAAGGCACAGCACTTTGGTAAATGTTTGTAATGATTTTGCATGAAATGTGACACAGTTACCACCTCACACATCGGTTACTTTATGACTCGTGCATTTGTTTCCACTCCCACATTTCCCTTTATATGTGATGTGAATCATTCAAATGTTGTAGCAGGAAGAACGCCATTTCATCTGTGATGTGTAAGCAAATTCCTCATGATGTTCCACATGGGGCATCACTTGCCATTACCTACCTGGCTTTTATAGGCAGTTCATCATGCACAGGTTATTGAGCTCCTGGGTACAAGTCCTTGCCGGGATGTCTAAAAGTAATTAACTCCAAGCTAAGAGTCGTTTTTGGCTTCAGCTGAGATAAAGAAATAAAAAATAAATGCAGGGAGCCTCTAGAAAGGAGCCATTTTACATGCCATAATATTTCATCATGCATTCTTGCACTTAGGAACAGACAGAGACGTGGTTAGCTGGCACAGCTCCATGAGGCACATGCCAGGGATCCATATGCTGATGCTATAGACAAGTCCAGCAAACTGCCTCACTGTTTGTAGGACAGACTCTGGGTGTTATTTATCTGCAGCAGAGGATTGATGGACTGAGTGTGTTTACACTGTTCTTCAGATTTTAGTGATGCCCAAATGTGCCGAGTAAAATGTTGCTGTTGTAGTAAAGTGTTGTCGATGGTCTGTTTCTTCAGGTCGTTGTCCTATATCATGTGTATGGGCTGTTTGTCTTTCCTGCTGCTGGGAGGCATGTTCTTTGTCGTCGATATCAAGGGCTGGTGGGGTGGACAGCCATTCATATACCCAGGTATGTTTCTTCTTGTACTGACAGGCTGCTTTACAAAGGTGTATGTGCTTTGGTTGGAATAAAAACCTCACAAACGCTGGAACGTAGTTTAAAATATTGACTACAATGACAATTGTGTTTGGCAACTCATTAGCTGATTATGCAAAGCCTAATATAACAAATGTCCTGAAAGCCTTTGTAGGGATTATAGTCTAGGTTTTGGACTTGTGGTCCTCACTCTTTTCTTCCAGTAATTTTTTTGCATTATTGGCCAGACTCCCAGAGAAGAGTTTAAACTGATTAGCTCATTTGGAAAGCTTTTTGGAAAGCATCCCTGCAATAAAGCCTTTACTTTTTGCACATAACTTTAGTCATTCAGCTATTATGGAAAGCAGGGAAAAATCCTTTAAATTGTATAAATCCTGTTCAATAACTTGTCTTTTTTCCACCCCTCTTCCACAGGGATGAACTCCATCTTTGTGTATGTTGGCCACTCTCTCCTGGGCTTCTACTTCCCTTTCAGCTGGGAAATGCGCTTCCAGCAGAGCCACTGGGAGTGGCTCTTTCAAAGCCTGTGGGGGACTGCACTGTGGCTGCTCATCGCCTACCTGCTCTACAGGAAGAAATTCTTCCTCAAAATATAAGCAGGATAATCCATCCCACTTCTGTAGATTGTATTATTTTATATTTTCATTTAAAGGCAGCCTCTAAAGCTAATTTTAAACTTTTTTTTTTTAACTTTCCTTTGCTAGAGTATATTATAATCCTTATTTATGTTATTCTGGAATTTAGTACAACCATTCAATGGATCCTTACTTTAACTTTCTTCTGATTGGCTGCTCTTTGTAAATAGTAGGTGTGGACAGCTGGTGGGCGGAGCTTCCGTGCTCACAGCCAGAGCTTTGTGTGTCTCTCTGACATCATGCAGACCTGATAATGAAGAAAAACTATTAGAAGCTCAGAAACATTAAGGGCAGTCTGAAGCCTGGACTTTTGGCTCAGGGATGACGTGTATGTATGTTGACCTAATATAATATGAGCTACTAAAATTATTATGTTTTTCTTTTTAAAAGCACTCTTCTCTGTAAATTATAGATTATTAGAGCATCTGTGGGAGTTTAAAAGAGTTTTTAAAATGACCTGCTGGTCTAGGCTTAATTAGTTTAGTTTGCTTTTCTTAGATGCAAACTTACCACACATGTTTTTTATCAAAAGCAAGATGCAGAGCAGTGTACAAAATGTGAAAATGCTGATCAGTGAAACCCATTAAAGCACTGTCCTGTTTCTAAAGAACATGTCTGACGAGCTGTCAGTGTGGGCAGCTAAGGATTCATTTGATAACACTTGTTTTATGCTCAGAATAGGCTGATTAAATTAAATATATTGAGGTGGTACTTAACAAATTAGGCCAAGTGATTCCACTACACACCAGGACAACCATTATGAGTCTGTTGCCATGGCCACTCCTCCTGTGTGCATGTGTGTCTCTGTGTTATGTACCATCTGCTGTCCAAGTCACAGTACTATAATTGGGGTCAAGATGCACACAGAGGGGTGTCATCAATGGGGCCGTCACCTTTTGCACTTATTTCATTAGAAAAATCAGGGAAATTACACAAATCCATTTCATCAGACGAGCCCCTCTCAGAGACCCCGAGCCCTTTACATGTGTTCTAGTTTGCACATTTCACACTCGAAGCCTCTTACTTAGTGAAATAGGGTTCATTCTCAGTAATAGATCAGAATATTTCCTCATGACTGACAAGCAGGTTGAGTGATTTATATCTGTATGTATAATGTATATGTACCATTATTGAACGCGCTCAGGTCAGTGTCCCTCAGCATCAGGTCAGGTGGTGTACATCATGAAATGACCATCTAGTTAATGAAATGAAACGGCATCAAGCTCCTCTTCCTGAGTGAAAGCCTATTACACACTCTCCAGAAGCAGTAATAACATTGTGTAATATGGTGTAGGGGTTTTGGTAATTGTCTTATGAGCACAAGTTATTTGAATCCCAGAAGGTGCATCTAGCCTTCCTGAACAAGACTCAAATCCTTAATTGCTTTCCAAACTATGGTGCCAGCAATGGAAATGAACTGCTGATTGGTCGAGAGATGAAAATGAAATCGATATACACTCACCACACAGGTCTAAAGATATCTTTTGTGTTTTGCATGCCATCAGAAAGCTTTGTGTTTTAATAGAAGCATTTAGCTGACTCATTCGGAGTAACATCACGAGGAGGTTAAAACCTATTACGTATCGAAAGCTGCTGCTAATAAAGATCAAAAGGGTCAAAACAAGAATCTATGCTGCCTTTTTTTTTTTTTTTTTTAGCCTAGAGCATTTTTTTAACTTGCTTAAAGCACATAGAAAACCATTGTGGTTGCAGATGCCATGTCCACACCACCGTATTTCCTTCTCTTTATTGATTCTCGTTGAGCATACGTCTCAGGATACCTATAGTCTGTCATATGGAAACATTATCCCAGATACAATACACTGTCCTCAGGCAGACTTCTTGGCTTCTTATATCACATAATGCCCCTTGGTACAGCAAGTAGCATTACATTTGAATAAACTGCTTATCATGTTATTCAATAATACAGAGAACCCCCAACAATCATATGACCCCCTTTAAGCAATGCTTTGGGAACAGTAGGACGGAAAAACTTCCCTCTAACAGGAAGAAACCTCCAGTAGAACCAGGTTCATGGTGGTGCAGGCGTCTGTTGTGACCAGTTAGAGATGAGGGGAGGAAGACAAGACAAAGACGTGCCATGTAAGAGAGCCAGAGATGAATAATAACTCATGATTATGTGCAGAGGTGTATAAAAACATAGCGAGTGAAAATGAAACATTCAGTGCATGGTTGGATTCAGCGTCACCTGATCCAGCCCTAACTATATGCTTGATTTCAAAACAAAGTATTAACAATAAAACCAATTTCACAGGTTACTCTTTTCGTATCCAACGTACAGAAGCATACAACCTATCTAGCTTTGTTAAAATGCCATCTCTTTCTTTACAGCTTCACAGCTAATTTTCTCCTTTAACCTTCCTGTGATCACCAATTTAAGGGCATATTGTTTTTAAAGTCTTCTTTAAGATACTGACGGCTCAGTGAGGGGAGGTGAAAATGTAAGCACTGTAAGTAGCAGCCATTATATTTTCTCCCAGTTGGTGAAAGTTAGTGAAGCGTCTGAGAAAGCCCCCTTTATCTTCTGTAGCCCAGTGAGCCTTTGTGTTTTTGCTCCATGCAGAGACATTGATTGGAAAGACACTGCTGAGAGAGTGACTGGTGTCCTGGCCCGAGGCTGCAGCAATGCATCACTCCACGCTATCTCCTCACTGTTCAGTCACACAGAGATCCCGCTCTTTAACACACCCTCAGCTTCTGACATACACGCACACACACTCAGACCTGAGAGAGGAACGGTCCCACATCATTTAACCCCCTGATTTCATTCTGGGACTTTGATCCAAAGACTGCAGAGGACTTCTACTCAGCTGGGGAGTGTTAATTATGCACATGGAGTACTTGGATGCAATAAAATGTCTAGGCAAAAAAACCCAACAACAACAACTTAGCCCTGTCACTTCACTGGCAGGAGTTTCACTTAATTCTTGCCACCAACTGGAACATTGTGCTCAAAGTCTATTTTTTATTCAACCGAATTAAACAAACGAATTCATCGAAGCTACTTCAAGCTTAGCAAAATTAAACAAAAAGGCACAATTACAATTATCACACGGCTGTTTTAATGAACCGGTTACTAAAACGAGCACACCTGATGCCCACCTTTAAAGAGCGCCTGTGCCTTTAAAGTGAACCATTACGCGCCCAGTCATAATTGTTAATAATTACGCCCCACCACCTCCCCCGCGCAGATCCTTAATGAGATGACTGACCTGCTGTTAAATTATGCTCTTAAATTTCCTGTAGATGCTATGCCGCCCTGCTTCTGCGGAAGCAGCGGGGCAGTGAGTAGTGAAGCAGTGAACCTCCTCCTCCCCCCCCACCTCCCCCCACCAGACCAGCCAGTCAGCCCAGCAGCAGCCTCTGTAGCCTCAACACAGCAGCCCGTCTATGGGACACTGAGGACTTCATCTGGACGCAGAGCGCGCACTGGTTTATACCCCCCATCTTTGTATATTTTATCGGTTTGATTATTGCTCTTGTTATCATTATTATTATTTAATTTTCGCCCAGAGGAACTTTTTTTGGATCGTCTTTTCATTCAGAAACTTTCACCTATGGTTCGCGAATATGGGGTCAAGTTGTGGTTTCTCTCGGGGAAACATCGTCGCGCTGTTTCTGCTGCTGCTTCTGGAAGGTAAGGTTCATCATCAGTTCTCCTGTCACTGGAAAAGGGTGAAGGAGCGCACGATGAAGTTGCAAACTAATGCTAAATGTTGCACTAGTGTGTCCGAACGTTTTTGAAAACAAAATAAATGCTCTGGTCTTAACTATTAATACAGAGGAGACGATTTAATGTTCGCTTCTTATTTTAAACGCGTTCATCCTTAGTATTATAAATTATTCAGACAGCATTAGCTTTAGTCTTTGAGTTTTTATCTCCGTCTCTTACTGACCTTTCTGCCAGAGAGACCGTTTAGCGCAGAAGGAATTAAAATATGTTTATTTAACATTTATATTTAGTATCTGCAAAGCTGGCCAAGGTGAAGAGAAATAGGTGCTGCCACAGAGCGAGCCACTGAACATGAAGTCTAGATTGCAACTGACAAATACACAGGGCTGCTCAAGTGAAAAGCTAAATTGCAGCATTTTGGAAGCTGAGTGATTTTTAAGGCCTTTTTCCCCCGACGAAGTATCTGAAAGGGCACGAACACAACGCCAGCACTGTGCCACACAGCAGAAAAGTGATCCTTGCATTGTGCGCTGGCTATGCGTGGCATGACAACAATGAAACGTAGAGTAGAATGAATGCAGCCATATATCATAATATTATAATCCCGTCCACAATCCCACAGCCCAACTGCACTAACACTGCCCTCTCATGAAGTCTATATTTAAAGTGTCCCTCATAGTTCAGGACTGTGCCGCCAGTTTGTCAGATGCTCGAACAAATACAGGGTGTTTTTTGGACTTCAGAGGTTATCAGTGCTTTTATAAAGGGAGGCAAACAAGCATTATGATCAAAGTCTTTGAGTGGATCTGGGATGTATAAAAAGATGTTCATTTCTATGTGTATGGAGCACTGCTGGTTTTTTCCTGCAATAAACTACAGGCCTACTTAATCACCCAGGGGAGCAGTTTTCTGCAGAGTAGTTAAAAAGATTAATGCAACTGTTAAGGTAGAACACTTTTATGCAGTGTCCTCTGATTATTTTTTCACTGTTACACGCGCTGTTTAATCAGTCCATAGTCCACACACAGTCAGACACGCATGCTGTTCTTACAGACCTTACATGCATCCACATGGCTTTTCCTGCTGGGCTCTGCTTGCACAGTCACCAAAGCAGGCGTTTCTCCTGATATTTATAGAAGAAAAGGGCTGGTCTCGTTGCACTTCATGTGTCAAGGACGTGTTGGTAATTAAATGGGTGCTGAAAGCTGCACCCTACGTGAATGTGGCGCCCATCACCTGCCTGTTTGTTGCAACAAAAGACCTACACTTGTTCAGGGAGGAGAAGAGGCGAGCCATGGGCAGGTGTGCAGCAGCTGCTCCT